TATAAGCTATTCCTACCCCACAAAATATTTGTTTTGATGCTTCTTTTCCAACAATATGTGTTTAATTGGTGTTTATTATTATTATTTTTTTAAAATTCATGGTTCCACTCTTATTATTAAGGGTGATTGTGTGCCTTTAAAACAACTCACCCGAAAATAATGGATGCTGAAGAGTCAATATAGGATTGCCCTTGAATCCGGTCAAAATGTAGTGTATCCGATACGTAATGACCAAATGTCCCACTTCCATCTGCATATTGAATAGTGTAACTGCACTGGTTAGTCTGAGGAGAACATTTGGCTTGAAATGCGGAGGTGCACATTGAACAGGGGATCAACCGTGCAGTTGATGAGCTGGCAGAATCATAGGAATGGAGCTGAATCTATAAAACATGAAAGATTGTTAAGCTTTACCATGCAAGAATTTGAGAATGACAGACAGCAAGAAAAAGAAGCAGAAGTTTACGGGAAGCCAAGTAGACCGGGGGCAATCACTGCAGGAATTACAGGTAACCCACAAGTTTTCACTTCCAGTGTCAATCTGCACGTTGAATTCTTTTGGCGGAGAGCCTAATTTTACTTTGGTATAATAAAGCCTGAATATGGAAGAATTGAAGATGAACAAAAGTGATTAACTTTATATACAATAGATTAGCAGAAGTCAAACATGATTCCATATCTGAAGCTACAAAAGATTAGCACAAATCAAAGTAATTAAGAGTGGCGGCAAACATGAGCTTCTCTTCTCCAACAATTTGGTTGAAAAGCGGCGGTAACCTACCTAGGATATTCAAAAAGAGAGACCAGAAGCATGCATGCTCTTTCAGTGGTCCGTGGTGGGACCACCATGTGCCCTCTTATCCTTTTTAGCTGAGAATGGCATTTTGTCTTTTTCCTTCATGGCCATGCAAAAGCTTTTAATTTTGACTAAAAATGAAAAACTTTTTAATGCATGTTGTGTCTTAAAGATTCTTGCTGAGTCGCTACACGTGCTTCAGGTTTTCCAAAAAGCTGAAAGAGTTATGATACAAATTTGATTTCCTGTTTTACCCTTGTGCAAACAAAAACACCAAAACCCAAACGACGTCAATCCACAAACACCCCTCCTTACCCTTCTGCAAACCCATCTTTTTACGGGAAAAAAAAAAAAAAAAGTTGTTTACAATACAAAACCACCACCACACTGACATTGAAAAAAAATAAAGAACCCATCTTTTTACCCAAAAAAGAAAAAAGAAAAAAGAAAAAAACCAATCTCTGACTATAATCACCAAAATCCGTAAATTTGTTATTCACAATAATTCTAGAAGCTTAGAAGAATAATCATATCTTGATTCTTGTGTAGATAATGATTAGGGTGAATTAAAAGAATAGAAAAAGAAAAACATATGACAATTTAAAGCTGCGTGTTTTGATCTGCCAAGGGTAAAATGGGAAATCCTCAACTACGTTGTAAATAAGCATGATGATTACATCCCTTTTCCCAAATAGATTTTTGGGCCCAATATTGTCCTATATTGTCCTATTTTATATTAAAAATTATGGTGTAATTTGAACAGGGGGATACAAAACACACAAGATCCATCGTAGCTAATTGAAAACAACACCCAGAAGCAAGCAGCAAAAAGCCAAACTTAGTCAACGTTTTTAACATAAATTATTTAAAACAAAATTAGATATTGCCTAATTGAAAAATCCATCAATCATCAACAACCAAACAGCATTAACATTTTCACCAAAAAAAGAAAAAGAAAAACAGCATTAACAAGAGACTCAAGCCCTCTACGTTTGATGATAAAATTAAGCAAGAATTATCAGCATTGAGCGGCTCTGCGAGGAAGACGACTTGGCGAGGAAGAAGATTCGCGTGTTTTTTTTTTTCAGATTTATTGTAATGAAACGACGTAGTTTTGATTGAAGTGTTTTAAAAAAAAGCTTAAAGTGAAACGACGTCAAGAGACAGCAGCATGGCTTCTAAAGAGAGGTCTGAAGTTGGAGATGGAGTTTCCTGGGAGTGCTGGGCGCGGTTCCTAAACCTTTGTGACTTGAGAGACCCAAAAGGGAGTTTCCTCAGAGTAGGCGTAAAGAGCTGATCTACGACCACCCTGCTGCTAGGCTAGTGATGCGGGGAGTTCTTCGCGCGCGTCGGAGTGAGGCTGCAGGAAATCGCCCGAGGCGGTCGGCTGTTTAGGGTTGCACGTTTAGCGCGGGGAAGGCGTGAGGAGGCGTTGCAAGGCGGAGCGAGGAGGAGCAAGGCGCACCAGATCTGGACACTCTGAACTGGAAGAAATTTTCCGAGTCTGCAAATTGGATGCGGCTCTGCGAGGAAGACGATTCACGTGTTTTTTTTTCAGGTTTATTGTAATGAAACGACGTCGTTTCGATTGAAGTGTTAAAAAAAAGCCTTAAAGTGAAACGACGTAGGCCAGGATCCGAGCCTTCAAGCCCAGCACTTCAGCGAAATGATGGTGGCGAGACTCGAGAGAGGTCTGAAGTTGGAGATGGAGTTTCCTCGGAGTGCTGGGCACGGTTCCTATTTGTGACTTGAGAGACCCAAAAGGGATTGTGGCTGAGGAACAAGTGTTGGGGTTTTCTTTTTTGGCTCTGTTTGAATTTCCTCTGGTGAGAATCAGTTGCAGGCTATAATGTAGTCCTTCATGGCCATGCAAAAGCTTTTAATTTTCACTAAAAATGCAAAAGCTTTTAATGCATGATGACCCCATCCCTTTTCCCAAATAGTCCCGAGTCGCTGTTGCCAAGCTTACACGTGCTTGAGGTTTTCAAAAAAGTTGAGTCCGAAGAGGCAGGTAGAGAAGGGTTGAAATAGATGGGATCGTAAGAATAAGGGTGGATATGAACGAGTTTCTCATACTGTGAGACATTGGTTTGGGGGTTCCAATAATGTCATCCCATAGTCGTAACGGCTCTGATACCAATTGATAGGTACCAACAAGCAAAAAGGAAAATAAAGCAATAAAGACAGATCTCCCAAAATGATCAAAAGCCTTGGATTAAATAGAATGAGATTGTGAACTCAGCAATATAGATATGGAAAGAGAATCTAAAGAGAATCCAAAGGCCTTGTTTGCTGAGAAAATTATATAGTCTTTATGAATTTGATTTTGAGTTATAGAAAACCAAAAAGAAAAAACAAGAGAAAAGATTTTATAATAGAAGGATACATGGTCATCCTACAAGTACAAGGTAATAATAGGATACATGGTCAGTTTGGTTTGGACTTCAAATTTTCGTTATGAAATTAAGTTTCCTAATATTTAATCTATAAAATTATGAATTATTGTATTGTGCATGGGGGCAAAGGATATTATTATTGTGGGTGGTAAAGAAAACTATTAGAAAAGCGTCGGTGGGACCATATTCTTCTACCATTAAATGTATTATTAATTATAAAGATCAATTGACACTTTAAAATGATGCCTTTTAAAAAAAAATACATTTGTTGTTCACTTTGGCACTGATAAGTAATGTTGCCTTGTCAATGGGCACAGATCATTTCCCCTTATAAAGAAGAAAAAAAATACCAATGTAACTAAATTAGTGATTTAATTGGCAAATGCAATGACAGATATATATTGCATATGTATAGCCATTTATTTCTTGTGTATTGCTACTGTATTGCCCTCGTATATCCATTTTTTCAAATCTCTATTTGAATAAATTTATAGGGGAGTATGGAGTTTGTGCATTGCCATTGTATAACTCTTCATTGCTTTTGTATTGCTTCCGCATATCTTTTTTTTTTTCAAGTTTGTGTTGGAATAAATTTATAGGGGGAGAATGTAGTTTGTGTATTGCCATTGTATTGCCCTTTATTGCTTGTGTATTGCTACTGTATTGCCCTCATATATCCATTTTTTTCAAGTCTGTGTTGGAATAAATTTATAGGGGAGTATGGAGTTTTTGTATTACCATTGTATAGCCATTTATTGCTTGTGTATTGCTACTGTATTGCCCTCGTATATCCTTTTTTTTTTCAAGTCTGTGTTGGAATAAATTTGTAGGGGGTATGATGTTTGTGTATTGCCATTGTATTGCCCTTTATTGCTTGTGTATTGCTATTGTATTACCCTCATATATCCATTTTTTTCAAGTCTGTGTTGGAATAAATTTATAGGGGAGTATGGAGTTTTTGTATTGCCACTGTAAAGCCCTTTATTGCTTGTGTATTGCTACTATATTGCTCTCGTGTATCCTTTTTTTTAAAGTCTGTGTTGGAATAAATTTGTAGGGGGTATGATGTTTGTGTATTGCCATTATATAGCCCTTTATTGCTTGTGTATTGCTATTGTATTGCCTTGTATATCCTTTTTTTTCAAGTCTATGTTAAAATAAATTTATAGGGGGAGTATGGAGTTTGTGTATTGCCATTGTATAACCCTTTATTGCTTGTGTATTGCTACTGTATTGCCCCTGTATATCTTTTTTTTTCTTTCAAGTTTGTGTTTGAATAAATTTATAGGGGAGTATGAAGTTTGTGTATTGCCATTGTATAGCCCTTTTTTGCAAGTTTGAAATTTATAGGGGAGTATGAGATTTATAAAGCAAGTTTGTGTTTCATTGCAATACAATGACAATACAAAAACTCCACATTCCCACTATAATTTCATTTGAACACAAAAAAAAAAAAAGATGATACGTGGGCACTAAATGGGCTATCCAATGGCTATATATATATATACGAAGGCAATTAGGAGCAATACCGTGGCAATAAGAACACAATGGGAGGCTATACAGTTGCAATAACGCAATATGAGGCTTTACAGTAGCAATACAAAAACTCTAAAAGTCCATCTTATGAAGGTAACGCAGGGCAAAACACAATGTATATAATGTTCTCTCTTCAATGTATAATATAAGTAAAAGTATTTTTTCCACACAAACTTGCGAATATATAAAAAGAACAAATTCAAGACTGAAAATTTCAACTAAATTGAACTCAATATCATTGAATGAGGACTAAATTACATGAGTGAAATATATAGTTCCTCGTAATTACAGTACACTTCCTGTAACTCAAATGGAATGTTGTCCCACGCCAAATTGATGATGGCTCTCAATCACAACAATCTTACAGAAACCAAAAATCTAGGTCCAACTGTCATGAAAAAAAATGAACCCTGCAAAAGAGATAGCAAAACAAAAAGGTTCCAGGTGCCTGCAAGTAAACCCTGCAAAAGAGATAACTGATATGGTTTATGGCATCTGCCTACAACCACCTGCAGCAATGAAACATAATTTTAGAAAGAGAAACAAGGAAGGTTATAAGAATTGGAGAGAAATTCCAAAGTGGAATGAACAAAGCAGTCTTGTAATTGGTGAATCCATTATCCAATTCCTCTACAAGCACAATCTAACTTTGCAAAAAGTGTTCTACATTGTACATGAGTGTAATTAAAGTAAGTGGTGGACATCAAGCACAATCTAGCGTTTGCTTCTTCTTAAGCTCACCATGACACCAAATCGCATCCAATTCATAGGCAGTAAAATTGGAAAATTGGAAAAATACCTTGCTGGGAAATTGGCAAAAGTGGAATTTAGGTAAAATTTTGAAATAATTGAAAATTTAAAACATTAAACCTACGAAAATAGGGAAATTCCAAATGAACAACATCAAAGCAATATCCAAGAGATATATCAGCAATATAAGTACAATAGAGTGACAATAGACATCTAATATGCAATACATAAGTAGTGTAAGGATTACTATTCACAAATGAGTCTCATGACAGGCCCCAAAAAAAAAAAAAATCCTTCTACCTCCCATAATTTGTCCATCCCATTTCTATGTCTCATACTTTCTCTATGTTCTCTCCATTATCAGAGCATCATTAACATGTTTAGGGTAGAACTTGGATTTTAAGCTAGAATAGTGCACACACACGCACACAAAACTTCATAACATTAAGAAGACCAATTACATAACAAAAACGCAGAATGTTCATTACAACTACCCAATCCAACCATCTCAAGTTCCTATTCGAGCAAACAAATAGATCTTTCATATTGTTTAAGATATAAAAGCTAAAAGTCCCAAATACTTTGAAACATACCTACTGTAGCTCTGATAAATCACAAGATCATTAAGAGTACTCAAAGCTACACCTCAGAGAACGTTGAACACTACAATCTCTCAAGAAGCAACCATGGGTAACTGAAAACGGGAAACCCAAAGTAATGAGAAAATGCCTTTTTCTGCTTCCAAAACTATAAATATGCTAACAAATAATATGAATTTGGTATAACAGAGCAAAAAACAAAACACATATCTTTACACAAAAATCCATGTTATTGTTGGTTTTGTGATGGAATATGGGGTGCTGGAAATATGAGTTGCTTCAGCAGAGTTCTTTTGTATTCTCTTAGCTTGTGTTGTTACAATGATAAGCTCAAAGGCTTTTAAAAGACAACAAATATTCTAGAGATATTCTACCAAATTAATTAAGGACAGCTACAGCTGCTGTAATAAATAGAGATATTCTAGAGAATTAAGGAAGTGCATTAATTCCAACAGTTATCTGAGTCTATAAACAACCATATAAACAGATATACATATAATGAGAGAAAGATATGAAATTTCCTACCCATTTAGGTAATCCAGCACTGACTATATTACATGTCCATCACATAAAGAATACCGTAATCATCTGAAAGGTACCATCTAATCCAAAAATTAGTAAACCTGCACATATAGAATGAATTAGAACCGAGCCTTTTCAAATTTCTAGTTGTGAGTATGAAATGCAGATATACATGTACATATTTCAAAACTCTATGTGTAACCAAATGCATCATTTCATTAGGAGCTTCCGAATAACTTTGAAATAAACATTGAGGATTTAGTATATAGTACCTAATGTTGCAGTAATAAGGAATGGGAGATCAAAGAATTATTTAGAAGAGACAGAGAGTACAAGAGCAGGGACATCTCGTACTATTTGTTGCCTTGTTAACTAGATAACAAAGGAATGTGCTCAAGAAATATTGCTTGGTATTTTATATGTTGATTAAAAACCAACATTGTCCTCCTGCTTTAATATTCACCACTAAATACAAGGAAAAGATGTAGAGAGAAGGGCAAAATTAAAAGATGAATGCAATTTTCAAAAATATTTACAGTATTCATTCAGGAAACTGAATGCACAATTTGTTTGTAAACTCAAATATCTACTATCAAAACTCCAATGAAATAGCAATAAGCAATATGACATTAATAAGTTATCAGTCTCCCATCTATATAAAACAGATAATAAACTACATACTAGAAGCAAATCCTTTCAAGCTTATCAAGTAACCGCCAACAAATTCAGTATGAAACAATCATAAATTGCATAATGGAAACGAAAACAGATATTTCAATCCTAATGGAAACACCAAGCGAATCACAGAAACCCATCAATGTCTCATTCAATCACAGAAACCCAAAAAAAAAAAAAAAGCAAAACCAATATCAGAACTCACCACAGTGACGATCGACGATGAAGGCATTGTGGTTTCGCGGTGGAAGTCGATGACGGAGGTGGCAAATCACGATTGTGGCTTCGCTGTGGAGGCCGACGACGGAGGTGGCGAGTCGCGGCAGCTAGGGTCTGGTTCCGATATGTGAGTTGGAAAATATAACTAATGGGAGATGAGGTTACGCGAGATTCGATGGTAGAGCTGGATTTCCTGTGAGGTTTCGCAGAAGGAGGAAGAGGAAGAGGAAGAGACTAGAGAAAGGACAGGATTTCAGAGAGCAACGACTCTGAAGGAAAAAAAAAAAAGTGAATGATGGGCAATAGGCCTGTCAATAGGGTTTTTATACGGGGCATTTGTGTGATTAGGTTTCAAAATAGAGACATTGGTGAAAAGATTAGGTGCGCCAGGGGGCAAAGCCGCATATTTCCCTTTTATGTTTACTTGTTGGTTTATCTGGAAGTGGCGAAACCAAAGAGTCCTTGGCGCAGAGTTGGAGATGCCTTCTAACCCAAAGCTTGTCATCTTCCTTGCTGTTTATGAATGGTACAGTTCTGTTCAAAGTGCAATTAAGCCTAAGATTAAAATCCAGATTATTAAGCATATCTACCGTGAACAAAATGTAGCCACAGATGCTTTAGCTACCAGAAGTTATAATCTTGGCCCTCGGCTCCATGTCTATGATGAGGTGCCACAGGCCCCGTGCTTTTATTCTGTAATTGTTTGGCTTTGGGCTTTTAGCCCTCACTTACCCAAAAAAAAAAAAAAAAAAAACCAGATTATGATATTTTGGAACCCTCCTGAGATTGGGCAATTTAAGCTTAATGTGGATGGGACTCGAAAAACTGTCTTTGGTGCGACTGGGGCTGGAGGTCTGCTCAGGGACTCTTCCGGGGACTGGATCAGAGGATTTACTGTTAATCTTGGGAAATGTTAGATCTTGAATACACCCACATTTAGATGGACATTTTAAAACTTTAAACAAGTCTAGATTGAATACACCCAAATTGTTTTAGACTTTTTAAAAGTTTGTATAAATCCAAATTGAATACACCCGGATTTTTAAAATCTTTTTAAACACTCTAGAATCCTAATTGAATACACCCCCTGGCCCCGTTTGGCTCATGGGAAAGGAGATTTGGGGATGGGAAATTGCTTTCTCATATTTGATAAGTTCAGGCATGGGAAATCGTTGCTTGGCCCATGGGAAATTAGGGGGGAAAGTAAAGCCATCCTCCCAACTTGGGTTTTGTTTTCCCTCCTCATGGGAAAGTTTGGGAAAGACAATATTAAATAAACATTTTTCATGACCATTTTGTCCCTATTAACAATTTAGAATTACAATATATCATTAAATGTATTCTTTTTTTATTTAATTTAATATGAGTATAATTGAAAATTTATACAAACTTTGTTTTCCATTCATACTCAAAACAAATATGGGAAAAGAAATAAAGTGATATCTCCTGGGTACTTTCCCAGGGTTACCAAACGTGAGAAAGGAAATGGAAAATGACATGAGAAATGATTTCCCCTCAAACTCATTCAATGAACCAAATAGTGTTTTCTGTTTGGGGCGTTTAGCCCCCCTTCTTCACCCAAAAAAAATAATATATATTTCATGTTTTACCCTTGTGCAAACAAAAACACCTGAACCCAAAACGAAACCCAAATGACGTCAATCCATAAACACCCCCTACCCTTATGCAACAAACCCATCTTTTTATGAAACACCAAAAAAAAAAAAAAAGGTTTGTTCACAAAACAAAACCACCACCACCCTGAAATTAAAAATAGAACCCATTTTTTACCCAAAAAAGAAATTAAAAAAATCAATCTCTAATTCCCTCAACCCTTTCTTTTTTGGACAGAAGATTTCCTCAACCCTTGATTTCCTTAGAAAATGTTGTTTTATTTGTGGGGTTAGCTTTGGGCTTTGATAAAGTTGTGCATTTTGGTTGTTACTTTGAATATTCTTTATTATTTTCCTTTTTCCAAATCAATTTTTCTCTCCTCTCAGCTGTATGTATCTCCAGCTCTAACCATTGTTATACTCGATCTTAAGTGGCTTACCATTGTTTTCTTTATTATTTGAAAATATTTTGGAAGAATGCTAAAGAAAGTAAATGAAATTAAAATTGATTGTTGAACGACGCTGATGATATTTTTTTTTATTTATAAAAAAACCAAATTTGTTGTAAAAGTAAATAGAGAAAGTATATGAAAGGTAAGAGTAGTTCTCAATAGCTCAATGCTCAAGTGTCTTATTCATCTTTAGTGCATACTATTTATAGGCATAGAAAATACATCACCATTTACCACCCTTAAGTAATGGGTTACAAAACATAATAACCCATGATAAATATGGTATTTAGTGCATAGGTTACAACCCTATAATGATAGGTATAATGATGGATATAATGGAGGAATTACAATGGACTTATGGTGAGCATCCATAACCTTTGAGATTACAACACTCCCCCTTGGATGTCCACCATGCATGGAGTATGCCTTATTAAAACCTTGCCAATAAAATCCGGTGGGACAAAACCTAGACAAAGGCAAAATAGTACATATCCATATGTAATATAGAACGTGTGACACTGCCTCATTAAAACCTTACTTGGAAAAACCCAGTGGGATAAAAACCAGAATGAAGAAAAAAGAGTACAATGTGAAGGTCTCAATTATAACACGCTCCCCTTGATGCTGACAAAAGATCCTTAAGTTGATGCATTCCAATATTGTTGACCATATTTCTAAATGTTGTAGTTGGTAGTGCTTTAGTGAATAAATCTGAAAAGTTGTTACTGGATTGTATTTGTTGAACATCTATGTCACCATTCTTTTGAAGTTCATGCATGTAGAAAATTTTTGGGGAAATGTGCTTGGTTCTGTCACCTTTGATGTATCCATTTGTGATTTGAGCAATACAAGCAGCGTTATCTTCATATAGTAATGTTGGAGAATCTTTGATTGATGACAACCCACTTGTTTCTCGAATATGTTGTATCATAGATCTCAGCCATATACATTCCCGGCTTGCTTCATGCAATGCTAATATTTCAGAATGGTTTGAAGAAGTGGCGGCTATGTTTGTTTTATAGACTGCCATGATATAGCAGCACCACCACAAGTGAACACATACCCTGTTTGTGATCAAGCTTTATGTGGATAAGAAAGATAACCAGCATCAGCATAGCCAACTATTTGGGACTTTGACCCTTTTGAATAAAATAAACCCATGTCAGTTGTTCCACGAAGATACCGTAGTACATGTTTAACACCATTCCAATGTCTTTTAGTTGGTATAGAGCTATACCTTGCTAATAAGTTGACAGGAAAAGATATATCAGGCCATGTACAATTTGCAAGATACATCAAAGTTCCAATTGCATTAAGGTATGGTACTTCAGGACCAAGTAATTCTTCGTTATCTTCTCGTGGGCGAAAAGGGTCTCTCTTTACATCAAGTGATTGAACAACCATGGGGCTACTTAATGGATGGGCTTTATCCATATAAAATCGTTTTAAAACTTTTTATGTATATGTTGATTGATGGATAAAGATTCCAGTTGGTAAATGCTCGATTTGCAGGCCAAGACAAAATTTAGTCTTTCCAAGATTTTTCATTTCAAATTCCTTCATTAAATAAGCAGCAGTCTTTGTAAGCTCTTCAGGAGTTCCAACAAGGTTTAAATCATCCACTCATAATGCAATAATGGCAAATCCACTTCCAGATCTTTTAATAAAAACACATGGAAAAATTGGATTATTTACATATCCTTCTTTTATAAGATATTCACTAAGGAGGTTATACCACATTCTTCCGGATTGCTTCAATCCATACAAAGGATTGTTGTAACTTAATTGAATACATATCATGATATTTTGGATAATTTTCTTCAGGTAATTTAAAGAGATCTCTTCTGATGTATGTACTTCTTTTGGTGTATGTGCCTTTGCAGGGACTATATCTTCATCAATTTTAAACTGGTCAGTTTTTGGCTCATCAAGAGTACTAATTTGTATTGGATTTTTATCTTCTTCTAGAATAGACACTTCTTGTGTCCTTTTCTTTCGGGAATTTTTATCTTTAGCACCAACAGGACGACCAGGCTTCAAGCGTACCTTTAATGTACTATCATATTTACCTTCAGAGACATCAATCAGTGCTGGAGTATTTATAGCCGGTATATGAGATTTTGTTACTTTCTTTATGTCAGTAAAGGAATTCAGTAATTGATTTGCTATACTTTGCAAATGGATGATCCTTTGAACTTCACGTTCACTTTGATTTGTATGCGGATCCAGATGAGACAATGATGATGCATTCCATGTAATTTCATGCTGTTCTTCAAGAGGCGGCACCTTTTCTCCCCTTAACGGTGGGAAAATTGTCTCATCAAAATGGCAATCTGCAAAGCGTGCTGTAAACATTTCACCCGTAAGGGGTTCAAGATATCTAGTTATAGATGGAGAATCAAATCCAATGTAAATTCCAAGAGGTCTTTGAGGGCCCATTTTAGTTCGTTGTGGTGGAGAAATGGGAACATAAACAGCACAACCAAAAGATTGTATGTGTTGTTGCACTGTCCACCAAACATACATCTCCATCATGCATCTTGGAATTGCTCAAAGCATTGACATTTTTCATGCTTCTTCATTGAAAGAAAAATACATATAATAAGTTTATGAATAAATATAACAAAAGTAAAATATAATTAAAAAAATAAAATAAAATTATGAGATCATACATCATTTTATTGAATTGAAAGCATTACAAATGAAAAATTGAAACTTAAATCATAAGTTCATATCGTTTTATTGAATTGAAATAAAGCAACGTAATAGAGCAACATAAAATTAGTCAATATTGGAGTTTCCATCATTGACATCATTATCACTATCCTTCATATTTTCATAACCAACATTGGTATTTTCATCAATGTATGAATGGTCAAATGTGCCGCTTGGTTCCGCAAAGAAATCTGACACATCCAAATGGGTGATATCCATTGGCTCGGTGAAATCATAAAAAATGTTGCTGAAATCGATGAAGTTTGTTTCTTTTTCTTTTCCCTTTCCCTTAATTGCTACTTGATAAAGATTAACCAGGTGTTTTGCCGTACGATAGGTATGAGACCAATGTCCTTTCATGCCACACCTATAGCAAGCCTCATCACTTTTCTTGTTTTTCTTCATTGTTATTACACTTCTGGTGGTATGGTGCACTTTTCTTACTCGAGGCATGATTGTGACCACCTCGATTTTAAAATTATAATGACCAGGACCACGGCCACAACCATAATTACGACCATAACCACGACCATGATTGCTTGCATTCGCTTCAGGGAATGATGCATTTGCATTTGTTTCTAGAAATGGTTTTGAGCCATTTGGGTGGGAATGATGGTTTTTCATCAAAAGCTCATTGTTTTGTTCAGCAACAATGAGACATGAAATCAGTTGGGAATATTTTGTAAACCCCTTTCTAGGTATTGCTGCTGCAGGAAAA